GGCCCCACCTATGAAACCGGAACCTGCAGGAATGCTCGGTCACATGACAGGGAACTGAGGCTGCAGATGGAATTCAGGGTGCTCATCAGGTGACCTTAAAATAGGGCGAGGTCATGCCGAAACCGGTTTGGCTCAGTGGATAGAGCGTCGGCCTGTGGACTGAAGGATCCCAGGTTTGATTCTGGTCAGGGGCATGTACCTTGGTTGCGGGCACATTCCCAATGGGGGGGTGTGCAGGAGGTAGCTGATCGATGATTCTCTCTCATCGATGTTTCTGACTCTCTGTCCCTCTCTCTTCCTCTCTGTAAAAAAATCAATAATATATATATATATATATATATATATATATATATATTTATATATATATTTTTTAATTTATTTTTTTTAATGTGGCGAGGTCAGCCTGGGTTGCCCACAGGGTCCTGCCCACACAGTGACCTGGGACCGCACTGTATGCAACATTTTGAATAATCTGACAATGCACAGTATCCAAGCAAGAAGTCACCCATCCTCAGCACACGGCGGGACCAGCTCAGGGACCACAGCTCCCACCACGCCCTCTAACACAGCGGCCGGGGCATCCTCATCCTCCCCCCGTCACTCCCCGCCAGAGGCAACCTCTCCTGACATCGGCACCATCACCGAGCTTTCCTGTTCGAGGACTTGGTAACTGGAATCACACAAGCACGCAATGTTTTCTTTTTTTATTGAGGAAATGTGCACACAGTGAAAAGCACGTGTTAGGTCTGTTTTCCACATACACAAGCAGACACCAGCCTACAACCTGAGGATGGATTAAGATAAGGGCCTGTTGCCTAGTAGCTAGTGTGGCTCAGCGGTTGAGCATCCACCCATAAAACCAGGAGGTCATGGTTCGATTCCTGGTCAGGGCACAGGCCCAGGTTGCGGGCTGGATCCCCAGTCAGGAGCATGCAGGAGGCAGCTGATCAGTGACTCTCTCTCATCATTGATGTTCCTACCTCTCCCCCTTTTTCCTCTCTGAAATCAATAAAAATAGATTTTCTAACAAAGGGCCTGTTCCCCCTGCCCCGTCCATGCCCCAGGCCCCCGTAACCAGTTTCTTGGCCTGCACACAGCATCCCGCTGCCTGGTTTTAGACTGTGTAAATGGAACCACAGGCCGCTGAAACCTGCTTCTCCCCTCGCCCTTCCCACATTAACCGATCTCCCCTTTGGCCTCTGGTTGCTTCCAGTTTGGGCTCATTTCAAGAATAAAGCATCTTTCACTCCCAGAGGGTGTAGGTCTGCCTCTGGCCCCTCCCACTGTCCTCACACCAGCCACTTCCGCACCTGGTTGTGCAAGGCCAGGCTCTGATGGGAAACTGATCAGCCCCCTCCCCAAGGCGCAGGCCACTTCCTCTCCCTGCAGCCTGGCCACCAGGGCACTTCCCCTCGGCGCTCAGGGGGGTGAGGCTCAGGGACAGGCCAGGCCGGGCTTCCTGTTCTCACGCAGGACTGTCCTCTGGTGCTCCTGGAAGACAAAGAGCGCTCCTCAGCGAGCACAGTAAACAATCCCTCCCCTCTCCTGGGGAGCAGAGGCACCGGGAGGCGGGCTGCCTGTGCCGGTCCAGCATTGTGCTGTTTGTACAGGAAGTTCGGAACGGAGCAGCACGGGGTATTCCAAGGAAAATATTTGTCCACCGACAGACGCTGAGCTACGATACCACTTTCCAAAAATGCAGATTAGGATGTGCGTGTTCCACTGGCTTGGCTAGTCGGGATGACTAGCTGCTGGCCTGCAGGGGGACGGGGGACCCTATGCTGGGACGCGCAGTGTGAGAAAAAGGAACAGGCAGAAATGGGGTCGCCTTTGCTCAGTCCGTCAGCTAACCCAGACCTCATAGCCAGTCTGAGTGCGGCTGCAGTGCCTCCCAGGAGTGCGATTTCAAACCCATCAGTCTGAGTGTCCTGATCAATACCGGTGAGGTGACTGCCGGGTAAGGCCCTGCCGTCCCCTCATCCCCCGGGACCTGGCTAGAAGGGTCCTTGCTCTCCCTGCCCCCCTTCTGGCTGTAAGACCCCGGAGCTCCCCTCTGCTGTCCGACGGGATGCGCCCAGCTTATGAGGACTCCCCCTACCCCCCCGCCCGTTCCTGGCGGACGTTGTCCGGAACAGCAGCGCCAAGTACTGGTGGTCACTTTGCTCCTTCTAGAGCACGTGTCAAACACAAGGCCCGCGGGCCAAATCCGTCCCGCCAGGCCTTGCAATGTGGCCCGCACCGCGCTGTCATCACTGCACTCCGCTGCGTTTCCATCACAATGACAGTTTATGACTGTTCAGTAAACCATTCGGCCCGAGATTTAGGCTGGATTTTAGATTTTGGCCCCTTCTCTGATTGAGTTCGACACCCCTAGTCTAGAGCGTGTGGAGCGAAAAGGGTCCACGGCCGGCATGGAAGGAAGCGCTACAGGAAGCGGACAGTCAGCCCCTGGAGGCGGCGAGGCAATCTGATTAAACACCCTTCACGCCACCACCGTTTCTGCCGTGAGCCGGTTTGAAGGGATGGAGATGAAGTAACATTTGGGGTGAAATGACGCCTATAGACAATCACCTCCTGAAAGTGGGCCCTGGCCTTGTCTCATTTGGTCACCTGTGAGTGTGCACGGGGGAGTGCGGGGCGGAGGGCTGAGGACGGCGACGTAAATGCCAGCCCCATCACCACGCTCCGAGCCGGTGGAATGAAACCCATCGGCAAAGGCCTTTGTCACAGGGGCTTCGGGGCCGCTGACGGAGCTGGGACCTCTAGGGAAGCTAGAACCCCCCCACCCCACCCCACGGGTCTATAGCGCCGGCAGCTGAATAAATTAAGAGCCCTCATTCTGCCCAGAACCTGGAGCCATTGACGAGCTGCGGCTGCTTTTCTCCGCTCCACAGGGGATCCCGATGGAAAAACACCCCAGGGGGGAGTGAGCTCCTGCAGGTGACGCACGGCTGGCTCTGGCGCGGGTGCAACTGCCGCCTGGACAGTGTTCCCAGGGGACTGACTCGCTGCCGCCGAGGTGAGGGTGGGGGTGGGGGTGGCTCAGGACAGAGGCCGGAGCCCACCGCGCTCCTGACTGGGGGCAGATCTGAGTCATCTCCATTCCCCTTCCTCGGAGGAGGGGTGTCCAGGGTGATTTCCTTGATTAATAGCAAAATTAGACTGAAAAAGGCAGGCGAAGGATTCCAGTTCCTTTGTTTTGCTTTCTGAACTCTCTATCTTCCTAAGAGCAGAGCCTTCCACAGAATTCAATGTCATAACCCCTCCCAAGGAGGGGTCACTGGCTAAGACCCGGCGCCACCACGCCCCCCCCCCGCTCCCCTCCCCTCCCCCGCCTGGGATGTGTCCAGGGGACGTGACAGTGCCTGCCCTGGCTCCACGGGTGGCCTCAGGCCAGCAGCTGGGCAGCTGAGAAATGCAGGGTCCCAGGCCTGCTGCCCAGACCCGGGGATTTGTGCGCACACTGCTTGGGAAGCGCCAAACGAGGCAATACGTGCATTTATGCTCTTAAAGCAGAAATGCCACTGCACGGGCTTCCTGACCAACCCAGACGTGATGCCGAGGTCCCAGGGGGCTCTGAAATAAACACCTGCTCTAACCAGGCGTGGGACAGAGCCCTTGGTACCTGACACAATGCACGGCCTCCTCTGGGATCAGACTGGCATCCCTGATGCCAGCTGCAAGGCTTCTGGGAAGCCAGTCACCCGCCCAGGGGGCAGTCAGGACCTGTAGTCAGTGGCTTTTCGTGTTTAGCTGACGGCGGCCACCCAGCCTATTTCTTATGGTCCCGTGACCGCGTCTGCTTTGGGGGCTTCACGTGACATCGTAACACTCCCCTGGAACTGTATGCCACCGGGCACCCTGGCAGATTCCGAAGAAAGAGCCCAGCCCTGCAGATGAACTTCCTACATGACTTTCCAGTGAAATAAGGTCCTGGCTAAATTGCAGAAAACCCCAAATGCTGCATCAAGTTACCAGAGGACAGTCTGGCGTGAGGCTGCGCCCCCTGGTGGACAAAGAGAGAAGTGTAAGACCTTGACTGGGCTGTAACTGCTCCTTCTGTGTCCCCTCCCCTGCCTGGGAGTCACTCCTCGCCCTCACCTCCCTCTTCGGCACCCACCAATGGGGATACTCAGTACCCTCCTTGTCGATAAATGTCCCAGCAAATGGGAAAGCAGAGGCAGGCGAAGGACACCGGCTCTTGGTATGCACCGCGTCCTGCTAGAAACAGCTCAGGGGAACCTGATCGGGACCTGGCGCTGCTCATTAACCTGCCGAACCAAAGGTGACCCGGCTCCCCACCCGAGGCTGCAGACACGGGCCACAGCTACTGGGCCAGACTGACCCCAGGCCCGACAGGCAGGGCGTCCCACAGCCACCGCGAGGAAGCACATCTGCACTGGAGAGGCAGCAGCTGGGCATCCACATTCACTCCAGGAATACCAGTTACGTACCAGTTACCCAGCACCCGCCACACTCACACAACGTGTGATTGGCAACCACTGCACTTTCTCCCTCGAAGACAAGCATGCAGTCAGTGGCCCAAACGTGAACACTACGAGGGGGAAAAGGCCCAGCGCCCACAGAACCCCACCTGGGAGCAGGCAGCACCCGGACGGAGCTGCAGTGCTGACATTCCAGGCGAGCAAAACGGGCGATGACCCATGTCTGAAGTGCTCCCGAGGCGTCCCTGGATGTGCTCATGGCGAGCCCTCGCCAGGCCCACCTGGCAGGAGTCACCGTCCTGACCGCTGCCCATTTTACTGAAGAAATCAAGGTAAACGGACGTGGCTCCTCTGACCTACACCCACCACCCCTCCCCACCAGCTTAGCAGGGCGATGGTCATTTCTGGACAGTCCACACTCCCCAGGGTGACAGCCCCAGCGCCCACACTTCCTGTGGAAGTGGCTGTCACTTTCCTGGGAGCAGGGCTGCCATCCACGGGTCTCAGAAGCAGAGGCGACGCAGACACACGTCACTGCACAGAAAACACAGGGAGTGACGTCTCCTTGGAGTCAGGCTCCATTTATTCACCTCCATGCAGAACGGGCTTGAGAAGGCAGCAGTCACACACGAGGTGGCCAGCGATTCAACCCAACAGCCCGGGCAGGCCCTACACCAACAGTGACATCGCAGCCCCCAGAACCAGGTGGAGGGGAAATCAGGTCCTGGCAGTGCACACCGCGTTCCGGAAACTCGCCTGGAAGAAAGCGCACTGGTCAGTTTCGTTCGCCTGCGCCCCTAACAATGAGTGGGTGCCTGCCCCACAGTAAATGTGTACTGAAGCGACGCTGTTCACGTGCTTTTGAAAACGGCCTGCGCTCTGGTTACTAACCACAGCCGTTCTCCTTCCAACGCGAGGTCTTGTTTGCAGTATCATACATGATCATCAAACTGCTGCTAGAATGTTCACACCTGTTACTGCAAATCCAAACCCAGGAGGAAGCTCTCCCGGGAATTTGCTTTAGGTCAGGGTAGGGCTGCCAGGTACGAGGCCGCACCCGCCACCGGCGCAGGTGCAGCAACACAGGAGCCTTTCCCCGGACCACGCGCCCGCGACACCCCGCCCCAGGCCTCACATACCTGGACCCCCACAACGCGCTCGTCCCAGACGTCCTCATCGCGGGAGCAGGAGGCAGCCATCGTCGCCCGCCTTCTTCCCCCGCCGCCGGGGGCTGGGCTCCGGGTTTTCCGAGAACACCCTGGGGGGAAAGAGTAACAAGGAGGGTCCGATTCATTCGGGGCTCACACGCTCCCCGGAAGCGCGCGGGCCGCCCAGCCGGGGGCCTTGCCGGCGTCAGCGGCGCCTCCTGCAACCGCTCACCTCACACCCGGGGGCCCTGCGTCCGCCCAGCGCCCGCGGCCTCCTCGGCCCAGGTCCCCGTTCCTCGGCGGGGAGCCGTCCCTGAGGTCCCGGGCCGCGAGCAGGGGCCTCCCGCCATCGCGGGGCTCCGCTAGCGCCGGTGGCGGCGACAGGCCCGCGTCACCCCGGGGCCCGGGCCCGCGACCCCCGGAGCCGAGCGGGGACCGGCCCTCGGGGACCAGCGAGCACGCGCCTCCGCATCCTCCCGCCCTCGCGCCGAAACCCGGGAGCACACGCACTTCCGGCCGGAAGTGACGACTCACCATAGAGACGGCAGCTAGGGGGCCGCCCGCGGCTCTGACGCTGGGTCCTCCAAGGCCGTCTTAAAGGGGCCGCAGCCGGCACGATGTCGGTAAAAGAGAGAATGAGCGCCTAGGCCCGAGGGGGGAACCCTGGGGCTGGAGAAGCAGGAGGGAGACCCGTCTCTCGGGAGCCTGCCCGGTGCATCCTCCTTTTCCTCCTCACGCAGTCCTGTGAAGGGGTGGGGGTGCGATGATCACCCCTGTGCCAGGTGGGGAAACCGGAGATGGGAGTCCCTTTCCCAAGCTCCGCCTGCGGGAAGGGGCTGCGCAGGCTCCAGCCCAGCACGAGCTTGAAGTTGCAGGAAGGAGGCAGCTCAGGACCGGGGCCCAGGCGGCGGCGGCTGCCGGTGCCTATGGGGACGGTGGGCGCTGCCTGCCGCGGTGCCCGGTACAAACGAGGGCTCCGGGAACGGCGGCTTTGCTCCTCTGACCCCCGTCCGCACGCACCTGGCTTTACCCGGAACGCCGCCCGGAAGGACAACGACCGCAGGATTGAAACCCAGGAGGCATCGTGTCAAGAGCACTCCCTCCCGCCCTGACCGGTGTGGCCCAGTGGATAGAGCGTCAGCCTGTGGGCTGAGGGGTCCTGGGTTCGATTCCGGTCAAGGGCATGTACCTTGGTGGCAGGCACATCCCCAGTAGGGGGTGTGCAGGAGGCAGCTGACCGATGTTTCTAACTCTCTATCCCTCTCCCGTCCTCTCCGTAAAAAAAATAAATAATAATAATAATAATAATAATAATAATAAAGCAGTCCCTCGATGCATGGTTATTCAGACACCCGCGCCCAAGGTGCCCTGGCGCCTCTGGTTGTCAGTGGAGGTTGAAAAGGAAATCCACCGCCCACGGCGAGGCAGGGCTGCGTATCAGCCCACATTTCTCCTCCCGCCTTCCTTTCCCAGCAGCAGCCGCCGAAGGAGCAGCCGGCACACACATGTTTGTGACTGCTTTCTCCCTCCCGGGGATTAAGCATCCGGCCCATGATGGCAGGGAGAACCGGCCTGGGGCGCCGGAGGCTCCAGCTGCCACTCAGCTCCACAGCGCTCCGGGCTCCCCCCCCCCCCCCCCCCCCGCTCCGGCAGCCGGGAGGCCCCGCTGGGAGGCCCCGCTGGGAGGCCCCGCCTGGGCTGGGCCTTGTGGGCGCCCGCAGCCCCCGAATGTCACTCAGCAGCCAGCGTCCGTCTGAGCCACCACCCACTGGGGTCCCAGGGCAGGCCTGGAAGTCACCCTGGCACGTGGCAAGGACAACAGTTACATCTTCGTCCATGTTACCGTGACATTAACGCGAGAGAGAGACAGAGACAGACAGACAGACAGAGGACTAAGGAAGGACTCCAAGACAGACAGACAGACAGACGGGGGGAGGACTAAGGAAGGACTCCAAACTGGACTGAACCCAGTTCCCGTCTTCCGGAGGTTCTCACTTTTCAAGCTGCCACAGGGACGTCAGGGGATGTCACGTGGGGGGCGGTGCCCCGTGACCCTGAGTGCCCATGCCCAGCGACAGCCCCGTAGGGTGACCTGTCGCCCATGTGTCCTCTGGCCAGGTTCCTGCCACACATCATCCGTCTGTCCGTCATGGTGGGAGGCGGCAGAATGTTTAACCCCCTCACCCCCGGGCACACCATCGGTGCCCGTCTGCTGGGCATGCTCCTTGGACACAAGCACCCAGCAATGGAGGGGTCACAGGAGGCAATCAGGGGTCCCTCCCAAGGTGGGCTACCGCAAGCCCTCCTGGAGACGGTCGCACATCGACAACTGTCACCCTGATGGTCTGGCTCTAACCGAGTGTTTCTAGAGTAACGGTCAGGGGTGGAGTGAGGGACAGCTGGAAGCTGCAGCATCATCGGAAATGCTGCAGCATCATAGGAGCCACTAGGTGGCAGTAGAGACCGCGCCCAGACCAAGCCTCAGGGGGAGGGGAGAGGAGGGGAGGGGAGAGAGGATGGGAGGGCTGGGGGAGACCCAGAAGGCCCAGGCAGGAGATGGGAGGCACCTGTCTCCATGGGAAGGGGGCCAGAGGGTCGGTGTGGGTGAGAATGGGCTGGAAGCCCAATGTGTGGAGGCGCAGGCGCCTCTGATAAGAAGGCCCCTCGGGGAGTCGCTGGGCCCCCATTGAGAGCAGGTGGCTTTCCAGATCCCAGGTGGTCCCTGTGGGTGTTATAGGGCCGGAGGCTGCTTGGCCAGATGGTGCCCATCCAGGCAGCAAAGGGCAGAGCACAGGTCTCAGGGGCCTGAGAGAACGACCCAGCAGCTGGTGAGCCCAGCCACGTACCTCACCCTCCTCACCTATGCATTATGGGTAATGACCCTCCTCACCTGTGCATTCGTGGGTAATGACCCTCCTCACCTGTGCATTGTGGGTAATGACCCTCCTCACCTGGGCATTGTGGGTAATGACCCTCCTCACCTGGGCATTGTGGGAAATGACCCTCCTCACCTGGGCATTGTGGGTAATGACCCGCCTCACCTGGGCATTGTGAGTAATGACAGTGCTTCCCTGGCAGGGCCCCCCCCCCCCCCCAGACAGTGCAAGGTATTGTGCCTGGCGCCCAACTCAACCCAGTTGAAATTTCGCCCCCCTCCTGCCCCCAGGGGAATTTTTAAACCGTCTACGCCGCCCCCGAGAGCGTATGAACATGTATTTTGTGGGGGAAATACCTACAGCATTTCAGGTGTAACTTGGATAACATGTTTTTATTTATTTGTTTGTTTATTTATTTATTTTAAAATGTTTTATTGATTTCTTTACAGAGAAGAAGGGAGAGGGATAGAGAGCTAGAAACATCCACCAGCTGCCTCCTGCGCACCCTGCTACTGGGGATGTGCCCACAACCAATGTACATGCCCTTGACCGGAATCGAACCTGGGACCTTTCAGTCCACAGGCCGACGCTCTATCCACTGAGCCACGCCGGTCAGGGCTGTAAGATGTTTTACATAAGTCACGTGCTTTTCATTTTATCAAACCTTAGGAACCTTCCTTTAGGAGATCTTCCTTCGCTGAGGAAATTACATGCTGCTCAGCTAAGCTCCTGTTGACGGTCAGGTCACTATCACCAATAAAACACCGTTAAAAGACGCAGTTTGCTGGGGCTCAGTCAGCCGTCCCGGGTGGGGCCCCACAATCTGCATTCTAACAAGCTCTGCTGACCCTGCCTGTCCCGGGACCCCACTTTGAGAACCACTGCCATTTTGGTCCAGGGAATCCTATTTCCAGGGCCAGCGATTGGCCCGGGAATGCCCACGTGACTGCGTTCTGACCAATGAGTGCTGAGAGGGGTCTCCTGGGCAGCTAGGAGAGGTCTTCCTGGGCCCTGGGCCGGAGGCCTGGAGCTGCCCCAGCACCCAGCAGCCCCAGGGGCGCCGCCGGGCCGGGCAGCACCTGGGGAGAGGGCGCCCCAGGGAAAGGAGCTGGGTCCCTGTGACATGGCTGCTCAGCTGACACCGCCTGCTCCCTGCCCTTCCCCCACAGTGAGCAACACCCCCAGTGAAACAGCCACACTGACCCAGGGCCTCCGACAACCCACCACCGCCAGCAGCTGCCCAGACGGCGTGACAGGGGCGGATGGCGACGCGCCCGGCGCCCGCAGGCCCACCTCGGGCTCCACGGAGCTTTTCCCGGTCAGAACTGCCTGTGAGGGCGGGAGAGAACATGCTCACCCATGGGCCCGCACACCATGTAAGCTCACACACGTGAGATACCCACAGATGGGGTGAGGGCGAATGTTACTGCTCTGACCCTCCCCCCCAGGCCACATCCGAGCTGCTAGAGGGGGCAGCCCCACGGGGAGATTGAGCACAAGGGTCTCCCCCTGAGGGGGTCCGAGGGACGATGGTGCGGCCCAGCAGAAGGCACTCACGCAGCCGGCCAGGCTGCTCTCCCCGCGGCGGCCTGGGCCCTGCGCTGAGCCAGCAGCACGGGCACGGCCCTGGCGGGTTAAGAAGCCACGAGGACCCGGGGGAGAAGTGTGTGGGACCGCAGCGCTCCTAATAATTGTGCATTTTACGGGTTTTCCACCTCGAAGACGCTGAGAGGATGGACCGAGCCAGCGCTGCTCAGTGACAGAGCAGGATGGCTGCCCTCACAGGGATTTGCTCTCAGTGCGATGACGTCTGCTCACCACCCGGCAGTGTTTAAGGACACAGACCTTCCCTCCTTCCTCCGGACGGGAGCACGTGCCCCGAGCGGGCGGGGGTCCCGGGGGCCTGGGCGGGCAGGCACCTTCCTGTGCTGGCAGGTGTCCCGGATGCGGTGAGAATTCCCTGTCTCCCCCCCCAGACCCCCAGACCCCCATCCGCCCCAGGAACCCTGCGGGGCTCTGAGGTGCTCTCACAGGTTGCTGTCTGGACGGGGATGAGAGCAGCTGGCTGGAGGCCCAGACACTGAGGAGGCTTCTGTTCCAGGTGCTGGTCCGGGGCCTCTGCCGGGGAAAACACTCAATGAGGTTCTGCCCCATCGCCCAGGACTGGGGGCTGGGGAGAGGGAGAGGGGACAGGTGGGGACTGCGGTCCTGCGTCCTCCCTGCCTCCCGCTCCTCCCCAGGTCAGGAAGGGACCTGGACCCCGTGTCCAGATGCTGCACCTGTGAGGCCTTGCCACCAGGGGGAGCGCTGAGCCCCTCCAGCAGGTGGCGGTGCGGCCCAGAGAAGAAAAAGGGAAATCATTTTCTCCTTCGGGAGGGGCCGTGCGCTGGACGCGGTGGAGGGTTCCAAACCCGGCGGTGCAAACAGCGCTGAGGAGGGGCTGGCGAGCAGGCGTGGAGTCAGTCTCCGCCTGGTCCACTCAGAGCAGGGCCTGAGGGCGGAGGCCTGGCTTTCAGCCGAGGACTGTGGCTGTGCGGGTGCGGGAGCCGGAGGCAGGAGGCCAGCCTCAGCGCCCACAGGGGCTGCAGGGAGCTGGCCTCCCCCTCGCCCTGGCTGCCTGGAGGCTCCCCGAGGGCAGCCGCTGGG